CCCCAAAACCCCAAAACCCCAAAACCCCAAAACCCCAAAACCCCAATCTCTAATATTATTATAGAATTGGATAAGCTTATAAAATAACCTCTGAATGTATTTTAATGCTGAGGGTTTCTCTGGATCTCATTCATTCCACTTAAAATGTCTCTTCTAAAGTATGGGTTGTACATTGGGTCAGAGACCGGGTTCACTATTGGGTTCGGCTGGATGTAGCCCTTCTCGATCTGTTGGTTTCCAGTGTTTGTGAATGTACCTCCAAATGTGTACACGGCATCAGGACTCCCACCGTGGGTGTACTGGTGTAGCTTCGTCTGATCGTTAAGTTTCTGCTTTGATTTTAAGTATTCTTGTGACTGCAAGGCACTTCTATAAGCATGCTTCATTTCGAGCTTGCCGAGTTTTTCTTGTTTGTCTTTCTGCTGTTCTAGGGCTGCAAAATTCTTCATCTGAACTAGATCTTCTTTCTTAACCTGAGACTGGTAGTCTTTTTCTTTCCTTCTAAGGTCCATCTGGTTGTTAAGATACTTCCTATACTCGCGCTTGAGTGCAGTCTGGTGATGTTTGGAGCCTTTATCGAGCAAGTCTAGTCGCTCTTTGGCTTCTTCACGCTTTTGCTTTTCGATTTGTTCCAGGTGCTTTTCTTTGTCTTTTGCTGGGACCAATTGGTCGACAAGGTACTTCTCGAAGATCTGGGCTTGCTTGGAGTTCATCTTGTTGAGTCTGGAGTAGTACCGGTCTTGCTCAATGGATTGCCGCTCGACATCTTTCTGAGCTACTCTGCTGTTAAGGTCTCTGGCTGAGACTCCGGTCCTAGCTCTGTAAATGTGATCTTCAAGTGAGTCCTGGATGGAACCATGGACTCCTGAGTACTTGGGAAGGTTTCTTTGAGACATAGTAGGTGACTCGCTACGATGTGGAGCAGGCATTTGCTGCAGAACTTTGTCGTCAGGATGATCGTATGAAATCGTGTGATTTAGTTTTGTGCGAGATGCTCTCTTGTCGTCAGCTTGCTGGCTCCCACGAGAGTTGCGTGAGCCTAAATCAAATCTATCATTCTGAGGCTTGACTGTGTGATCGTAGCTTTTGTATGCATCATATCCGTAGTTCTCATTAGCATCTTTGTTAGGAGACACATTGCTGATTGGCTCTGGCTCTTTTCGATCAAGAGACTTGACATCTAAAATGTTTCCATGGCTTAAGTTTTTGTTGTGAGCAGAGAGTCTTGATGAAGGCTTGTCATCAAGCTTGCGATGAGAGCGGTTGCTATAAGCAGAGTACTTGTCATTATAGTTGAAATTATACGAATTATTAGGCTTTAATGCTTTATATTTGCTAATTTCCGGTCTTTTATATCTAGCAAAGTTAACTCCACCTCCATAGCTAAGGTTATGTCCATGTTTTCTGGGTTGACCAAAGGAAATATTATCGAACTATAATCTCATTAAAGGGGTCATTACCATTTGTCTTAAAATTTATTTTAAAGATGAATAAAAATTCAATTTTAAGGCCTAATAGAGGGGTTTTGGGGTTTTGGGGTTTTGGGGTTTTGGGG